GTGCCCGGTGGCGCACAGGCGACGCTGAGCAGGTGCGTGATCCTCTTCTCGTGGCGCAGGCCGGGGTGCTCCACCACGCAGGTGAGGCTCTTGCCGTTCATGCTGCGCCCGGGCACCAGGAAGAACTCGCTGGTGACCGAGGCGGATCGCGCGTGGGCCGAGCGCCGCGTGGCGTTGGTGCCGCGCACCTCGGTCTCCCAGCGCACCGACGGCACCGGGCTGCCCTCGGCCGTGCACGAGGCCGCCAGAGTCCGGCCCTGGCCCTCCTCCAGCGGCGGGCCCGGGTTCAGGATGGGCAGCGGTGGCACTGCGGGGGGGACACGGGGTCAGGGATGCGCTGGGGACATCGCTGGCGGTGGTGGCAGCACCAGGGGTGCTCGGTTGTCGGTGTGTGGTGTGTCCTTTGTGGCCCTCGGTGGTCCCTCCCGTGGCACCAGTGCCCATCGTGTCCCCAGTGTCCTCCATGTCCCCAGTGTCCCCTCATCCCCAGTGTCCCCCCATCCCCAGTGCCCATCGTGTCCCCTCTGCCCTCCATGTACCACATGTCCCCGCTGCCCTCAATGCCCACCGTGTCCCCAGTGCCCATCACACCCTCTATGTCCCCAATGTCCCCCATGCCCTGTGTCTCATGTCCCCCATGTCCCCCGTGTCCTGTGTCCCCCAGTCGTCCCAAACCCCCATGTCCCATGTGCCCGCTGTGCCCCATGTCCCCCTGTCCCCTGTCCTCCATCTCCCCATTTCCCCCATGTCCCCTGTCCCATATCCCCCCGTCCCACATCCCCAATGTCCCCAATGTCCCCGTGTCCCCGCGCTCACCCAGCACCCTGAGCGTGAGCCGCCCCTCGAAGTTGCCCATGGGGAAGGTGATCAGGTGACACTCGTAGTCGCCCTCGTCGCCCTGCACGGCGTTTCTCAGCAGGATGGCCCCGTCCTCCAGGTCGCCGTGGCCGTGGCGCAGGACTCGGCCGGCGAACGCCTCCTGCACGTGCTCGCCGTGCTGCGGGTTCAGCACGGCCACCTCGGCGGCCACCGCGCCCGGGCCGCGCTTCAACCACGTCACCTGCACCACCTGCTCCTGCTCCTGAGCGCGGTACCGGCACGGCAGCACCACGTCCTGGCCCAGCACGGCCGTCACGCTGCGCGGCACCTCCACGCGGCCCGCACCTGGGGGGACAGGGATGTGACACCTGAGTGACACCTGAGTGACACCTGAGTGTGGGCACAGGCACCTCCACGCGGCCCGCACCTGGGGGGACAGGGGTGTGACACCTGAGTGACACCTGAGTGTGGGTACAAACACCTGAGTGCAGGTAAAGACACCTGAGTGTGGGTACAGGCACCTGAGTGCAGGTACAGACACCTTCCTGCGGGACACGGGGACAGGGATGTGACACCTGAGCGTGTCCCCTGTGTCACCAGGTGTGGCACTGAGTGGCACAGAGATATGAGGGGACATGGTGGGGACAGGGATGTGGCACCTGCACACGGCCCCCACCTGTGGGGACACCGGGGGACACAGGGACAGGGGACATCAATGTGGCCCCTGTGCCACCACCTGTGGGCACCAGGGGTGATACCGAGTGTGTGAGAGCACACCTGGGCACACCTGAACAGGGCTGGGGCTCACCTGGGCACACCTGCAGGGTTTGGGGTTCAGATTTCGGGTTCCAGGATTTGGGGGCTGATCGTGGGGTTCGGGCTGCAGGATTTGGGGTGCGGGGTTTGGGGTGCGGGATTTGGGGTGCGGGGTTTAGAGTCTAGGATTTGGGGTGCGGGATTTAGGGTGCAGGGTTTGGGGTGCAGGGTTTGGGGAGCTGAGATGCAGATTTGGGGCGCGGCTTTGGGGAATGGCTGAGGTTTCTGGGGCAGGTGTGTGGTTGAGAATTTGGGGTGCAGGATTTGGGGTGCAGGATTTTGGGGGCTCTTTAACAGGTTTTGGGTGCGTGTTTAGGGCGCAGGATTTGCTCAGCAGGTTTGGGGGGCTGATCGGGGTGGGGGTTGAGGTACATTTTTGGGGGTGCATTTTTGGGAGGGGGCGTGGCCCGCAGTTTTTGGGGGGGCGTGTCCCGCCCCGCCGCCGCCGCCGCCGCCGCCAGAAGCGGCCGGGCCGGCCCGTCCAGCCCAACCGGCCGGGACGGATCCCGCGCTGCCGCCCCCGCCGAGCCCCCCAGGGGATCCCCAAAATTCCCCCCACCATCCTGACCCCCCCGAGGATCCCCCCGACTCATTAACCCCTTCATTAACCGCGCCGCCGCCTCCCCACGCCGCTCCCACGTGCCTCAGTTTCCCC